GGCCCGGCCCGGCCCCTTCCCCGCCTGGCCTGAGGGGAAGGGAGGGAAGGGCTGCGGCCCCCTTCTAGCTGCCCGAACCCCTCCTCCGGCTGAGGCTCCCTTTCTGGCCGCTCCCCCCGTCAGCACCCGGCCTTCCCCACAGGGAAGGAAGCGGTGTAGAGAGCCCCCGAAGCTGAGGGCACCGCAGCAGCAGGCGGAAAGGCAGAGCTGCGAGACAGAAAAGCCGAGGGAAGCCTTACTTAGGCTCTCCTCACAATTCAGGTCTCGGAAGAGGTTCTTGCTCTTAACATACCTTTCAAAATCCCACAACCCCCCTGAATTTGTACCATTAAAAGTTACATAGAGCAAAACAGGCTGACGGGATGTACGTCTGGACGCTAGTTAGCGCCAAGTGTCTCTTCACTTGGATTTCTGTCACAGCGAAGAAAAGTGCACCCATTTCTGGGTAAGGGCTGTAGGGCTTCCCTGCCGCAAGGCACAAGACATGGGCTTTCCCAAGCCTCCGTTTACAAGTTTTCACACAGGAGTTCCCGAACTGTTTACCTGTTTTTAAAGGGATCAAAGCAGCAGAGCCCGGGGAGGCAGAACTTACACAGCACCTTAGTTAAGACAGCCTTACACTTCCGGTGTTTCATCTGATAAAACACGTTTGGAGTGCTCTAAGTTTTATAACTCTGCTATTATAGAATCTAATTCTTTTGAGAGGGAGAAAGAATACTACAATACATTTTCTAGGATGCATAACTGAGAAAGAGAAGATTTAAGCATTTGAAATCTATAGAAGAGCAGATAATTGGATCCAAGTCTCCTAAATCCCAAACTGGCATCCCCTTCTCTGGTGTCTGCTTATGCCTCTTAATTGTAAGGTAATATAATATATATTAAATATTTGGCAAGATAACACATGGTCCTATGGCAGATTTAACTGATGTCCCTGTTACCTACACATTAGGCTGAGATCCCCACATCCTGTAAGTACACTGGCCTGCTCCATCTCCTTTTTATTAATCCTGCACCTAAAATGAAAAAAAGGCTATCAGTTTATAAGTCACTACATATATCAATTTGTCTGGCTAGAAATTAGAAGAGTGCCACAATATGTCAGCAACTGTATAAAAAAGTATTTTATTAACAACACATAAATAAGCACATATACCCCTTAAACACATTTTTCAGGTAGCATCACAAAAACGTCTTACAATAGTTCCACAGAAAAATCCAATTCTCAAGAGCCCAGCTCAAATGGGCATCACCTCTGGGGTTCCAGGTAACCTTTTCAAGGCTATACAGGATTTTAGTACAATCTGGTACAGTTGTTTGAGAGTAGATACTTACAAGACTGCTTTTTGTTAGTTCTTGTTTTGCTGTCGAAACTGCAAATATACTGGTCACATGGGTATAGGTCTTGCTTAGTCTACAGAAAAATCCTTTTCGAATCAAATCACAAATATTACAGATTATGTAATATGCTTGTTCCTGAATCATAGCCCTGACGATTTGCCTTTTGGACCTTTTTTTATTTTTCTTAAAAAAAAGTGCTGCCGATAACTCAACGCTCATCTGTCTGCATGTCTAGATCAACATTCTGTATTTCCCACTCCAAACAGACTTGGTGGCAAACTAAGGTTTTACTTCAGTTTATTACAGTCTTCTACGAATAATTAAAGACACTTGAGAGATAGTCATCACTTTGGAGGACAAGCCAACAAGAGACAAAAACAGCTCAGAAAAATGCTTCCTTTCAAATGGGACTATGATGCCACTTCAACAGTGATGACTTCACATTTTCCTGTATCTTGATCTGTGCAGGTAACATGCAAGGACCCATCCCTAGATAAAATAAAAAGGTACGTTTAGGACTATCGCAACATACATCTTATTAATATGTTACTGCATGTTTCAGAGAGGATTAACAGCGATATTCTTCATGCAGACGAAGAGAAAAAAAGAGTAACATCACAAACCAGTGGAGAACAAGCTTCACCACAGATTAAATTGATTTATGAAGTTTAGTTTACTGTGCTGAGTAGTTAGATATGCACTTCTTGCTCTCCATTAAAGCTTCTGTCTTCTTCATAATGGAAGAGACTCTGGAACATGATTACATATTTATATGTTTATTGTATTGTAACTAAGTTCCTTTAATAGGAGTTTGTAAACAGATATGTAGTAACATCATTCAAAATATCTATCTTGGAAACTCTGAGTAACAGCAACCAACAGATAAAGAGGTCTTCTGAAAGCATGACAGTTCTCCTTTAGAAAAGCAGAAATATTCTTTTAAATAACAAGCAAGCTTTAAAGAAGAAAGCATCAATTTTAAGTCAAAGAATTGGAGGTAGCATCAAATCCTACTTCATCTAGACATAATATGAAGTAGTCATGCCTAAGATTTAGGAGAAATAGATGATGGTTTCCAGTGAACTCTTCACTGAGCTTTTAACCTAAATGCTATCAAAAAAACCCTTTAACATACTGCAAGTTCTCTGCAATATACAGTTGCTTATATAAAGGTTGACAAGGAAAACACAGCTTAAGTGCAAACCTCTGTATGACTAACAAGGTATTTCTGGTGAAGTCTATGAATAGAGCATTAATACATCTGGTAGTCAAGAACAACAAAAAAAAAAGTATTGTGTACTCAAACAGCAAGTAGTATCTTAGCAACATCTAGAAAACTTTCTTATTTAGAAAAGTGATGTGAACTTCATGGCAATCCTCAGAAGACCACCAAATGTTTTAACTACTTAGTCTAAGTAATGTATGAAGGTAGCAGAAAGTGAAATTTTATTCCAAACGATCCAACCCCTACTATTAAGGCCTAAGCAGGTCCAGAGAAATCCCTTCAAATAACTTTCTCTTTCTTGTTTTTAAATGCGAAATAAGAGATCTTCTCCACTTAATCTAGTGTAAAAGGTAGATTTAGGAAGCATGATTTCCTGCAGCATTGTTTCTCATGCTTAACAATGCTGTTTCTAAAAGGGTAAGAACACAGGTTTTCATCACAAACGCAGCATATGTATGAAGTCCTTCATGGATCCATTACAACTAATGAAGACAGAACCCACCTCAGTTTTTCCCGAGAGTGTGGACATTAAAAAAAAAAAACAAAACACCACCACCACCACAAAAACAACACACACACAGAAATTTCCTTACCCCTACTTCACAGGGAATTTGAGATCTTGACTACTGTCAAGCATAGTTAAACTACTCAGCAGTTCAAGAGTTACCTAAAGAGTTCTCTACACAACTGCATTAAGTTTTATTCCCGTAGGAGTCAAAACAGACAGCTGTATAATTCCAGAGGTAAAATAAAGCTGTAAGGCTCTGCCACATCTATATGAATACGTTATTTGTGAATTGATGATGCCACCGAAACAGTGCCATCAAGTTGCTGCATTAATGGAAGACGACAACAGTTGAACCAATGGGTAAACGATCAGTAATAATTCAACTGACTTGATCTGAATAGTTTCTTTAAGATTTGGGTAGTTATCACTTATCTGCCCATTTTTAAGTTTTTCATGGATGAACTATCAAACTCTCTGCCCATCAAGCTGTTGAACTTGTTTGCAAAACTAGTCCCAATGAATTTTGTGTCAGTGTACTCATCTCTGCCATGAGTTTTCCAGAGATGCAAAAAGGAGACTGTGGCCAACACTGACATTTATGTCTCAACTCCATTTTTACTAAAACTACGGCTAGCAAAAAAACTTATTGGTTTAAGAGCCTTTAGTTTTGTCCCAAAAGCCCAGTAAAGAACCTCATGCACATAGCATCACATCTCCAATAACTCTAATGTCAATCCAAAGTTGCACTGTGTTTGTTTTTTTTTTTTTTTTCTTTTAACCTCCAGTCAAACATTCAGTAATTTTTCTGATAAAGATGTCAAGAAACTAAGAGAGGCAAAAAAGGGTTGTCCTTTCTTATTAGTCAGTATCACAGAATCAGAGAGTGGCCAGGTTAGGAAAGGTCCTCTGGGGAAAATTAAAGCATTTCTCGGGCTTTGCTACTGTAGACCAATGAAAGCACAGAAGTTACTGTATGAAAAACATGCTTTCTTACAGAATTTGTCCCTGTGAAGACACAGCCCAACAACGAAACGCTGACATTTCTTAAAGTAAAACTAAACGTTCTTGTATCAAGGATGAAGAAAAAAAAAAAAGAGAGCGAGAGAGAGACTCGGAAGAATCTCAGAAGCACCACACAGCAAGTTCAAGAGCAGAACAAGAAATATTTTGGGTACCTCTTCATAGTGAGGACAGTTAGTATATCATGTAGACCATCCTCCTTTTTATCTAAATCCTGGAGCACAATCTATTAAAAAAAGATAAAATATAAATTCTCTAGATCTTTGCACAGGAGTTTAACGGAAAGACAACAGCAATACAAGTGATAAGGTGCACAATTCATTTTGTTTAGCATCTGCTATTAATAATTTAACATCAAAGCATACCTTAGCATACCTTAGTGGATTTCATACAGGTGTAGTGCAATTCTATATGCGTTTAGCTATTTACATACCTGTTTTCATGTTTCCGAGTCTATTATCAAGATGGCTGGAGAGCCTACAACTCTCATGGACTGGAGTAAAAGGTGAACATGCTCCTTTATCTAGGATCAGTTTTATAATTACTGCACAATGACCTATCCCCTCACAGACCTTTGGGCAACCCTACGGTGGAGTGAAACTCTCCTCAAGCATGGTGTCCATTTCCAGCCACACGTTCCCTGCACTCGCCTCCGTAAGTCAGGGGAACTGAAGGAAAACTAAGTACATCATACTGTTTAAAGCAAGCTGTGTTCTCTTAATGGAATGACTCATCAGTAATACCTTCATGCCAGATGAAGATTTAATTATCTCATCTTACCACACTTGATTTTCAGAGTGGTATTTAATGCTAAGATCTCGTCCAATCTAGGACTATTAAAAAGTATAATAGTACATACACTGGCCGCCTCGTTACCTCCAGTAATTTTATTTTTAACTTTTTGGAGACCTGCATACTACCGAGATGATTGGTTATGAACTTTCATCCCAGATCAGCTGCACTGCCATAGAGCCATACGTGAAAACCAGACAGGCATTCAGAAATTTAAGAGGAAAAGTTAAAGTTTCTTTAAAGAGTGCTTAAATTCTTCCACAAACGTGCTATAAAGTATGTTTAAGGATAACTTCCAAAAAGATGCATGTCATTCTAATTTTGCAACGAGAGGTTTGGTAGGGGTGGGGTTAATTTTGGTTTTATTTTATTTGGAAATCAGGTGGGTCTGCAAAAAAAATAATTCGCATAAAAATGTATAGGAATGTGCATACTCACCTGTGCAAATTTGTCATCTTCATTCAAAGGACTTTTCCCTAATGACTCATATAGCTCAAGGCACACAGAAGCAGCACTTCCAGGAGCACGCAAGGTGTGCTGCCTTCGAGCTGGTAATGGTGTCCCTGATGGAAATAGCACTGTGAATTTGTCAGCCCCTGACTCGTCTACTCCCTTAAAAAAGAAAAAAAAAAAAAGTTCATGCCTTTCTCTACGCTTCAGTGAGCTGGAAGCTATAAAACAGTGTGCCATGCAAAAAAATAAAAACCTCAAGATTCAGACCTTCTGCTGAAGGTTATTTACCATCACAACAATTCCAAAGATTGAAATAACTATAAATACATGATCAATCCAGCCAGCGTAACATAGCAAGGACCAAATCTAACCCCCACTGAAGTCAAGAGGAGTTTCTCTACCAGTTCTGAAAAGCTTAAATCAACACTTAGAGCCGACCGATAACTTATCTGTAAGACCAATACTAAAGCAATACCACACCTCTAGCAATACCACACCTCTAACATCAGTACCACAGAAGCAGTACTGTGTATTCATCACAATAGTAAAGTGTTCAAAAGTTAAACAATTTTAGCCTTACCTTAAGTAGAATATCTTTGGCAGAACACTCAATTAAGAGTGCTTCCTCTTCTAAAGAGGGATTTTCTTTCCCCAGTAGAATTCCTGCCTCTATGGCTGCACCAATGGGAATTACTTCATCCGGAGGAATAGAGTTCAGCAACTCCACAGTTGGAAAAATGTCTTTGATCAGCTGCTGTAGCTTTGGGATTCGAGCAGACCCACCACACAGAACTACCTAGAAAATATGCGTCAGCCGCTGTAGCTTTGGGATTCGAGCAGACCCACCACACAGAACTACCTAGGAAATATGCGTCAGCCGCTGTAGCTTTGGCACTCGAGCAGACCCACCACACAGAACTACCTAGGAAATATGCATCAATGACTTCAAATCTTTCTTCAGAATTATAAAGTGAGACACGCTCCAACTTTCAGTACAGAGGCACAAACTGCTCTGGGATATTTTATCATCTGTAACTGTTAGAAAAATTGTTATGTTGACTTCTGGGTTTTCTGCATTTGAAATTAAGGCAAGCTTGAAGTAGTATATTGATGAAGTGCCTCTTATAGGGAGCATCAGCTAGATGAAGTGACATTTTTAAAATCTAGGAATCCAACATAAAGCCATGTTTGTTTGGAAGGAACCTCCAGAGTTCGTCAAGTCCAACCTCCTGCTCAGGACAGGCCCAGTTAGAAAAAACGGCCCAGGACCTTATCTCTGAAGATAGAGAATCCACAGCCTCCCTTGGGCCCCTGTTACAGAGTCTGACCACCCACACAGTAAAAATTCTTTTATTTTTATCTAGAATTTCCATGTTGCAACTTGTGTCCATTGCCACCCATCCTTCCATCATGTACTTCTCAGAAGAGTCTCGTGTTGCCTCGCCTACGCCTTCCCGTTATACAGCGGTAGACGGCAACAACATCTTCCCTGAGCCTTCTCTTCTTAAGGCTGAACAGACCCCAATTCTCTCGGTCTTTCCTTGCAAGCCATACGCTCCAGCCCCAAACCCTCCTGGGAGCCCTCCAACTGGACTCATTCCAGTATGTCAGTCTCCTTTCTTCTACAGGAAGCCCCAAACTGGACAGAGCCTATACGCAGTCTCATCAAGCGCCAGGTAGGGAAACAATCTCTTTCCTACACCTACTGGCTACGCTTATTACAAGCCAGCAGGCAACTGGCCTTCCTTGCTGCAATAGTACTCTGCCAACTCTTGTTTTAACTTGTTGACCAAGAGCCCCAGATCTTTTTTTCCAAAAGGTGCTTTCTAGCTAATCAACCCCCAGCCTATCCTGCTGCATGGGATTACTGCATCCCAAATGCAGGACTCTACATTGGCCTCTCACGGAACTTCACAATGCTTCTGTCGGTCCGTTTGTCTTACCTTTTGAGTTCCTCTGAATAGCAGCCCAGCCTTCCAGTGTAACAACTGCTTCCCTCAATTTGGTACTGCCTGCAAACTTGCTGAGAACGCATACTACCCCGTCATTCAGGTTCTTAATAAAGATATTAAACAATCTTGGCCTCAGTATCAAACCCTGAGAACGCCACTGGTACCCAGCTGCTGGACTTTGTGCTGCTTGGTCCTCTTGCTTAGGAAAAGAGCCCTTATAAACCTTTTATTTCTTACAGTAACTTACTCGAGATCAACCAGATATGGAAATCAAGCTAACTCCCAGTTTTAGTCGTGTAAAGCATAACTCAGAAACCATTAGTTCGGCTCACTTGTTTTATACTACAGTTGCATTTATTTAACAGGATTATTAAAGCCTGGGGGCACAGTGGGCCACTTGATGTATTGCCACCAGAAAACAAAAGACATTGCGAACAATGGCCTAGGATACTTCACTAGTCTACTTCTAGAATTCAAAAATCAGAGTGAACAGTAATTAAGAGTCTGAAGTGGCAGTCCATATCACTGGAAGTGCTGGCTAACTTTTGCTGTAGAATACTTGCTACTGGTGGATTTCGCACGCAACAGTACAGCATTATTTTCCAGACACAGGCATACAGCAGCTGAGATAAAATTACTCTTGTACCAAGCTGCAGACATTTGAATGAAACGAAGTGATATTTGCTACCTTACTCCTTAAAAAGGTATAAACACATCCGATGCCAAATCATAAGTTTTTAGGTTAACAAGGGAAACGAAGGGCGGCTGAACATGGGCGCCAAGCAGACATTAAGGGATCTGTTCAACTCATAGGACAGGCCAAGTCCAATAATATCTTCACAAGTGTCAGCAAACCCAATCCAAAGCTCAGTGAAGGTAGAGGAAAAAGTCTACTGACTGAACTTGAAGAAAATAATCCTCAGCTCTACTGCGAGTTATACACAGAATTCAGATGAATACTTTATCGTTTAGTGAATAAGTAGCTGCAAAACACACTCCAGACTCTGAAACTAACTTCTGCTTAACTTCAAAAAACTGACATTAAAGCAAGGACAGGAGCTCTAAGAGCCTGAGCCTACATACTTTGTTGAACCCGATCCAAAATGCTTAAACACATCGGGAAATAATCTTATTACAGTCCGTAAGGAAAACGGGTCTCAAATTTTTCTTGTGGAGTTAAAAAGCATACTAGAGACAAAAATTATTTCCGTTATTACCTTATTAATATCATCTGCTGTAAACCCAACTTGCTGCAATAGTTTTTTAATTGCTTCTATACACTTACTAAAAAGTGGAGAACAAATAAGTTCAAACCTGGCCCTAAAAAAAGAAAAAAGAATAAAAATAAGAAATACTGTCTCAACCACTAGAAGAGTAAACACTTGAAATGGAAGAACGATCATTTTTAGAATATACTTAACTTCCTTAGCTAATCTTCACATTAAATAAATTTTTTTTCAAGTAGATAAAGTCTTTTTTCCCCCTTAACCATTAATCCCAAAGAAGTGATTTTACTGTGAAAATAGCTGTACTATTGCTTCTATTACTAACACCTGTGCAGACTGATTTTTTTTTTTTTTTCTCAGCTTGTATAAAATGTCATGATTCAGTTGATTTCAGTTCAGCTATGGTGATTTACCCAAGCTGCAGATTTGGCCTCTGTTTTTTAAATAAATAATAGTTTTTACTTGAACATGTTTTCTGTAATGAAATGAGTAGTTTAAGTATCTTAAAAGTAGATTTCTGAAATTCAAATTCCATTTGTGTAGGTTTCAGGCAGAGACTCCTGGAAGAATTTAAAGTTTGTGTGGTGAACAGCCCTGCTTACTGACTGCATAGTTTGAAATTTAGCACCTGCCGAAGACATTAGCATGAACCCTAAAATATGTAAACAGTTTAAAAACTATTGGAGTGCAGTGTTGAATGAGCTAATGAAACAGCAGAATATATGTGATTTGCATTAAGGCACTAAACTTCAGAGACTTTATACAGAGAATTCATTACTTATGATGATGATGATGATGATGATGATGATGATGATGATGATGATGATGATGATGATGTGCAGACTGATTTTTTTTTTTTTTTTTTACAGTGCACTCTAGAAAAACACCCCTTCTCACTCATTTTTCACATACAAGTCATGACAATTAAGAAGCAAAAATCCTGGAACCATTCTATCAGCTTCAAGCTGACACAAAGGGACACAGAGACTGAAACATGCCAGCTGAATTTTCAGAGGCAAATTGTCTCCTGCATATACACAGGAGTAGGTTACTTAAACATACAAAAATCATAACTTTTGTATGTTTCCAGGCTTGAAAGAGCCTGAAGAACAAGCTTCACTCTGCACGAGCACAGAATCAAATTCTGCAACACTGTAGTTCACAGGACTAGAATCCTAATCCAAGCTGAGCCAAACAGATGTTGTACAGCAGAACTTCTTGGATCGGCAGACATACCGTGCCTTATCTCACCAAATCCAACTGGTGCAACAACACATGCACAGTTCTGATTTTTTTTAAAAAAAAAAAAATCTATTTCATTTTGCCAAAGTTGCTGACTGGAAGAGCAACTAAAGGTCAGCAAAATATTTCATTAAGAGACCACCCCAGGAGAGAAAAAGCTTTCAGGAGGACACAGCAGTATAAACAAAAGAACTCCCATAAAAAGACAGAAAGCATTTCTCCACTCCCAGCTGTCAAAAAGAGAGACAAAGTTTCCCCGGTTCCTGTTCTTCTGGAGCTCATTTCGGTGAAAAGAGACTAAAAGCCTTTTCCTTTTTAAGAAGTCTATTAAGAGAATAAAAGCGCCTTGAATAATTCCAGCACTGATTCTCCTTTCAATCAAACAGGTTCTAAACATGGGGCCTCCCTGTATCTTTTTTCAGTTTATCTTCAAACCATTATGGCAACATTGTGTAGTGCTACTGCCCAACTACTGAAGATCTTCCTCATAACAGAACCATTAACACGAAACAAAGATAAAAGACAAAAATTTGCTTTCTTTCAGCCTAGTTATTTCTAAAATTAATGTCACCAATGTAAAATTTTATTGAACAACCTAAAAATGAAGCAGAAAAAAAATTAAAGCACAAAACAATATAGGAGAAGTAACTTCCAGAGTTGTTTTACCTGGACACATTACAATCAAAATCCAAGCCATCATATAGTGAATCTACAAAACAGTTTGCACTTCCCAGGGTTGATAGCGAGTGCTTTGCAAGATCAGCGCTGTTCATTAACTTCATCATGGCTCTGGGATTTCCTCTGATATCATGTTTACAAGACCTACGTTAAACAGAAAGGTATTCAGGAAAGCACACATTTGAGTGATATGCTAACTTTCTGAAAGGAAAAAGAGGTTAAAGCTATTGAACAATTTCCACCATACGTTTCAGTACTGCCCATACTGCCCTATTGAAAGTTTATCAAGAAAAATAAAAGTATTTCAAATTCAACTACAGAACATTGGGTAGAGGCACTCCTGTGAACTCAGACACTAGTGTTTATCAGACAGAGATTTCTCAAGTCTCATACAGAGAGATTTCTCCTCCGAATGAATCCTGTAAGTAACTCAAGAAACAGCAAGAAAACGCTGCAAATTATCTGTAACCACCGAGGTTATCGTAAGCAATCAAACACGGAACGTAAGACGTGTTAACAAAATAACGTTTCGTCCAAAAAGTCTCACTGTGTGATAGTACTCAGTTGGCCACCTCAAAACAGTCTCTAAAAAGCAGCTCTCAGAGGATTAGAATATTTAAAGGCTTTAGAAGTATATGAAAACACTAATATTTTCAGGCTTATTCCTTTGTATTAACAAAGGAAACTCAAAAGAACTGTCATCAAGAAAACCTAACTTATAATATATTGGTTGTTTTTCATCATCATAGTGTGAAACGATAACCCAGGCCTCTCCATGGTCTTTCATGCCAACAAGCGCATGCATGCACACACACACAAATACACAAACACAGCAGCAAGCTAAATCCGTGCCCCCTGAGAGCTTTTAATTGAAAGGATATATGCAGTCAGTGGTCACACGCATCACTCCAAACAGAAGTTTGTAGCACAGCACCAAAAAAAAAAAAAAAAATCCAGTCACCCCCTAGGTCAGCACTGAATTCAGACAACGCCTACCCAAAACCAACATCTTTCCCCTTCCTCCCTCCCACCAACAGCTAACTGTTTCTTTAATATTTCTGAGTCATTTCAGTCATGGACAGCCTGCTAGATCTGCCAGAACAAAGTAACATCCTTTTTTTTTTTTTTTTGTTTGAACGTGAACATTAGACAATGAAGTTTGTGTGCTAACAACATACATACTTGGAATTCAAAACCTACCTCTGAAATTCAGACGCTAAGTGTTGCGCTAAAGCCTCTGTGAAGCAAACTCCACCTATGCTATCATCTGTGTTTGTAGCCAGAACACGGTATATTCCACTGTTTACTTCTATGACTGTGATAGAGAGTGATGTTCCACCAAGTTTATAAACCAACACATTGCTGCCATAGGGGGAAAAAAAGAGTATTAAAACCATCTACAATTGTGTTTGTTTTGTCTTTCCAAAAGATCATCATCGTAATACATTTCAGGTTTTGATCAGTTCTTTGTAAAGAGAACCTGATTCGGGCTGTTTGAATTTAATGCATCTGGGGTACCAGCAACTAAGTTATAAGGTTCCCTAAAGGACAAGATACAAATACAGGAAGAGTAGCCAATGTTTACCCTACAAAACAAATCAGTACTCGATATTACGTTTAACATCATACAATGCAATTATAAGAGGGTAAAAAAAAACACCAAGAAAAAATAAAACATCTGTTTGCCTTGTGGGTGGTCTTTGTTATTTTGAAAACCTTGCAAATTATCTGAATAGTCATATTAGGGAAACCAAGTCCACCTGCTGCGTCTAGGAACTCAGCTTTAGTTATTCTATGGTCTGTAAAATGACAAGGACTCCCACAATTATAAATCAGCTTCACCTAAACCTATGCAAGTAAAGGGATACATCTTCCTTGAAGCCAGTCTGCTCATGAAAGAGCAAGACAGAATCTGGAGACAAACGTATCTTAAAAAAACAACACCAGAACTACAAAGGGTTTTGAAACATTATGGGCTACTGGCAAACAGCTTTACAGAAAAAAAGAGAAAAAGGAGCTTCAAATTATTAATTTTATATTTACTGTTACAGCAAGACAGCATTCCCCCCCCCCCATTTAAGATTTCTCAGGATAGAACTTGACTTGTTAAACTCCTATGGATTTAACTATAGTAGCTTAAATTTAAGTATTAAAATTCTACCTTTTCCCAGTGGGTGAATCTTGGCCAATTCCGTAAGCCAGGAGAGCTGCAGATGGCTCATGGATTAACCTCATAACATTAAATCCAGCAGCCGCAGCTGCTTCCCTGTGATAAGGCATAGCAGCATTTCATAACAGCATTTAATGATTTCATTAGAGTTATGCACACTATTAAGACTTCATCAGAACTAGATACGTCACCAATTCAGAACTTGGTTACTTTGTTAATATCAAGCTGTAAAGCAACTGGAAAAGAAAAATTGTGAACAACTTCAGTTCCTACTCTGCTCTTCAAGTAGTTGGTTCTGTTCTGCACTTATACATCAGCGTTTTCCTTGACAATCAGTCTTACACATTTTAAAAAAATTAAAAAAACAGCCCCCTCAACAGAAAAGTCAAAAAACCCACACCCAAGCAATTGTGGTAACTTATTCCCAGGTGTATGGCATTAAAAGTTTGGTATGTCATTTCATCAGATGTTACGTGAGGAAAATATGCTTTTACTTCCAATTCAAGTTGCCACGGCTTACTTTAAACATTGCGTTGGAAGTTCAGTGTCTTTGGAACTGTCCTACAATTCATTTTCTCCATTCTGAAGTTACTTTGATACTTGTATGCTAGAAAAATTGGGTTTTTTTATTCATTATACATATTGCAAATACCCAGCTCCCTTACATTCTATGACTAACTACGCATGCCTTCAATATTTCAGGAGGGCTCTTAACAGCTTCCAAATACCAGAAACTAGTAAGATATGCTGCTGATTATGCACAGATTAGACTTTTGACATGTCAAAAGTCTGCTCATCTTTTCACATGCAGAAACTTTCGCAGCTGCACTTCCAAGCAGAACTTCATTTTACTTCAGTCATTTTTGATGAAAAGGGAGAGCGACCGACACCCCCGGAGTACGTTCCAAGAACAGAAGCAACAGGAGTACAGGGTATCCTATGCTGCCCTGCAAGGTTCTCTTAAACTTGGCCAAGAAACCACATACCCAATAACAGGATTTCTGTCTTTGTATGTATTCAGTATCACCTCTTTGACCAAAAAAAAAAGTCCTCAACGATATCATGCAAAGCCACTTGGGTTGGCGAGTTTTGCTGTGTAAAGGGGTGGGAAACCATTGAGGAAGACAGAGACAAACTGCATACATTCCTAAGAGGACACTGAAGGGCCATGAGAGATAATACTTCTGAAATGAAATTCTCTCTCTGATGTTATCACAACTCCCTCTCACTTTAATGGATTCAGAATTTGACTGCTTATGACACAGTGAACTCCATAAAGAGTTTACTAGAGTCAGGATTTTATTTCCTGATTATTGCATTTTCGCTATTCAAAAGAGCATTCCAACTTCTCAACTGACAGCTGAAAACCAAAGTCCAGCAGGAGACTTCCCGTTGCTGATCTGCCAGCCGGTCTGCTTTAGGCATGTTAAATAACAGAAAAATCTTAATCCTCTTACCCAAGGGCATTTTTCTGATTCTCTCCAAAATCAAATGGTACAGTGATAACAACGTCATTTACATCTGAACCCAATGCAGACTGAGCAGTTTCTGTTTATAAACATAGGCAGAATATGTTGATTAAAAGCAAAAAACCAACACACCACATCTTAAAAACATGAGGACAGCTTTAAACAAATTATCTTATGATTTTAGTTACTATATACCTTTCATTTTACTGAAAATGAGTTTTGCGACATCTTCTGGATTAATAAGTTTATTATCTATTTCATAGTGAAGTTTTCCATTCTTCTCAATTATCTGTAAGCAAAACCAACACACTTTCCTAAGACGTCTAATTTGGTTATTAATGAAACAGCAATGTTTACTTTAATTTCCATTTGAAGTCAAAAGCACTGGACTTTTATAAATAGTCTCTCTGTTAGTATTTCGCTAGGGAATAAACACTTCCAAAACATTTATCAAAGACAGATCACAAAGAAATCTTGCATTATCCAGTAAATAGGATAGTGACATTGATATGGAGTTAAAGGCTCCTGACCTCCTTTTACAATTAAGGGGTTTTCCTTAGTACAAAAGGAAATTTCAGAGCAAGAGTATTTACTTGCTTATATTCAATAACAGTTGACTACATAAGCTTATCAATACAAAGAGTCAAAGACCAGTGAAAAAACTCATTCCCCTTAGGGATAAGTCAAAGCCCGGATACAACTTAC